CTTCTGAAACCGGAATCAACAAGAAGGGGGGCCTCTACTGCACTCAAATGTGGGAAGTGGGTAGTATTATCCTGAATCTAGTATTTCAAAGAGAATCCCGCATAAGCTGGTTTTGTTCCAACTGACAATCGGTCCACCTGGGAATAAGCATCAAGGGAAAAGGGAATGAGGGAACCCAGCTTTGCCCTGTTCTCACTAAGTGGATAAGTGTGTGGTACTTTACACACAGGAAGAAACATGTTTGGTCCACCACCTCAATTATTGGGAACTGAGAAATGGTATGGACTCCCGTGCTCCACTTGGACAGCAAAGAGGGGAAGTACATACAGTGGGGAGTCTGGATGAATATCACACTGAAGAAAGTGCAATAACTGTCCACAATTCCCTATTTTGAAAAGCAGACCATCCCAGATTTATGCAACCAAAGGGTCGACAGATATGGGTAGAAATCCTCTTTTGCTTTACTCATGACAGTCCATGAGTGAAAGTCCACCACCGAGTTAAACTTATGGCTACCTAGACACATAAGTATATACTACCAGGCATGCCACTAGTGGTCTTGCAGAACACCTCAACTCTTTGGTGTGCTTATAGCTCTATCAATATATAATGTGGGTTTGTGTAAAAGCACACCTAACCAAGCAACATTTGCTACAGAGTTGGTTCCTACGAGTAGCAGCAAAAGACGGTCCCTGAAAAAAAAACATAAATGAAATGTTGTGAAATGACATACCCAATTCAAAGGTAAATGGATGGGTGTAGAATCCCCATGGGAGGGAGATGATATCCACCCGAGAAATATACAGCCAGATAGTACAGATAATGAGCAACATAGAAATAGGGAGAAGTCAACATTCCAGCCTGAATGATTTCTTCCAACGAACATCAAAGACAAGCAACCAAAGATATATTGATATGACAAATTTGATAAAAAAAAACAATGAGGAGATGGCAACCTTCCATGAATAAGTATGAAAATGCCAGCCTAAGGAGTTGATGAACCCAATCAATTAGTATGACAGGGATAGAACATGGGAAACAGAAGAGTTCCAGGGAACAAAAGGTTGGGAAAATAAACCCTGAAAGGATGCAGTACATGCCACATAAAACTATAGGGAGCAAACCTGACAAGGAAGCCAATTAGGATTGGAATGGGAATACAGGTGGGAGATGGAAGATAAAGAAGTGGGTGTAAAAGCCAAATGACTTCCCCAAGCAACAGAAGTCTTACAGAGGAAGGCCCAGTCTGTTTATATGATGACATAAGAGGAATGGTAGAGGATTCTGGTAACATTAGCAGCATAAATATCCAATCAATGACATCTGCAAGCTAGGAGGAAAAGGAAACGTGTAATATACCACATACCTGATTAATCAGCTGTAAAAAACAAATGTAGATTGTGACAGACCAAAATAAGAAGGTGCCAGAAATAGTGAATCCAATTTTCTCCTCCTTGATTGTATTCACCCTTAGAAACATTGTTAGGTTGAAAATGAGAAAATGCCACTTGTCAAACATAGGAATCTAACGCCCTGCAAATTAAGACCTGTACCTTTTCAACACATAAATTCAAACCTGATGTCTGGGTAGTTGCACCAGTAGTGTTGTCTACTGTAACAGAAATTTCTGTTGTTGATACACTGAATCGCAATGTCATTCTAAGTCACCATATGATTCGGTAAGAATAAACAAATGCACAAAAAACTTGGAACTGAATGCATACACATTAAAAGAAAAGTTGAGAAAGGTATTAAAATGTCAACAAAGTGTAACCATAAATGGTAGTCACATGCAAAAAACACACATCTAAACAATGCTGTGCGAATAAAGAAAGTGAGGATTGAGGGAAACATTAGAGGAAGTTAGCTGCACCAATATAGGTGGAACAATAATATTGGTGGAGGGTGGTCACATGCTATATACATGTTCAAAAGTGGTGCGAAATTTGTGGGATATACAGACTGGTGCACTGAGCATTAAAATGTTTTAGCAATGCTTAGGGGACAGAAAGAAGATTGAAATAGATAAAACTGTATCTGAATATCATACCTAAAGTTACAGCAAAAAAAGTTGTGAGAATAATGTTATTCTCCATAAAGTATCAAACCATTATAATTTTTACAAATACAGAAAACAAACACAGTATTACAGTAGTTCTAAATACAAGTTTTAATGGAAATGTAATTAAGTTTCCATAATCAAATATGGTAGGAAGATTTAGTTACATGTATTAAGTATTAAGAAAAATATACACAATATATTCTTTCTACAGTTTTACATTTAACAACATTAATATAAGTCACTGATGAACCCTATCTTGTTAAAGCAGAGATAAAATCCATAACTGCAGTTTACAAAATGAACACAATTAAAATGCTTATTTCCTATGTGGAACATAATGGCTAAAACTGCTAAAACCATATTGTAAAAATATTCACCAAACTGCTTAATCATTGTACAGGTAAATGCCTTTTATAAACTGTGTACATACAAACACGTCATTACTAGTTAACTCCTACATCGATATAAGAAGGTTTTATTTAATAACCACATAATATTATTATTTTTGCAAATTAAAGACACTACTTTTGAAATGAATTACAACTATGTTGTGTGTGCATGTATTATCTATACATCTGTGTCACTTAGTACACACAAAATTTTATTTTCTTACATTTTTGCTACACGTCTTAAAGTTTGAAAATGAGCTAATAATTTTCATGTTGGTCATTTTACTTTGCAATTTTGGATATTTGTTTTAAAAATCTGCATGTAAATGAATAGTTAAATTGTAAACAACTCATTACTGCAACTTATGTTGAGTTGTTCTTGCTACATGTACATATTTGGTTCAAGTTTCATTTGCAACATGACCTAACATGTATATGACTAAGAATTTTACAGCAAGTCAGCATCCTCATAAAGTACTATAATTCCTTTTTCTACATTTGCTAGAATACATATTTACTGTTAACTAAATTTTAAATGGTATATAACATACAGTTTATTGAAAAAAATGAAATAGTACACACAACAGTTTGCTGAAGCTAACTGAGAATTATCAAGTGTAACAATTAACTTAAACACTCAACTTATGAGTGGTTATCCAGCAAGTCAATAGGTACAAGATATTTATCTAATATACAAAACTTACTTCAGGGTACTCCTTCACTGGGACAAAGACTTTTTCTTGAAGAGTAACAATTTCTCCTTCTGGATGAGGCAACAGCAAAGGTTCTTTCTTGGCTCCATTCTTTTGAAGTAAGGAGCTTCTAACCTTAGCAATTTCTAGAGGTAATATCACAGAAAAAAAAAAGAGTAAACTGATTCATCCTTATTATTAAAATAAGTTCTCAGGTATATGCATCAATTACATTCAAAAATGGAATATATAATACTTGTATTAATTTTCTTGTAATTAGCAATTTCTAAATATGCTAAAAAGGAAAGATATAATAACATGTCAAACATAAATATTTAGATGCCTGGGAATATGCATTTCAAAAAAATCTAAATATTTGGTTAAAGGTTTATTATTTATCATTTTCTATCCCAAATAACAAACACAAGATACTCCAAGTTTTTACAAAACCATAAGTAGTTGTCTTTATATCAAAAGTGGGCTAATAGTTTGGCTGACAACACAAATCAGACAGAAGTGTATCTCTAAATAGCATCATTTATAGTTGTTTTATGGAAAAAAAATTTATATCAGAGCCACATCATAACAAGTCCTCAAGCTTCTGCAACCACTATATACACAAACACACCTGTTCAGTCTGGTCATTGCAAAAATTTTTTGACAAAAGTATCAAAAAATGTTTAGGGATTGTAGACCCATAGCACATGCTGAATTAAAACACTACTCATTGAAAGATACATCAACTGAAGAAAAAAAGAATGTCAAGGACATTTATCGTGAATCTCAAGTTATGGTCTTAAATTTTCAAAGACCCCGCAGTGATAGAAATGGCTCTACTGAGGTAATGCATATATATACCTAATGATCTCAGTGATTTGTATCTTCTGATAAACATGAAATAGATGAATGTTAAATTTACACAACATTTAAATATAAAACTCTAACATGTTTTATGCATTGACTGCAAGATAAAAAATTTTGCCATCATCATCATGTATCATGTTTTTTCTACTCTGTGGTCCCTACTCCTCATAAATGTCAATTTCATTTTCAGAGATTAGTTCGTTGACTTTTATAATTTGTAAAACACTCATGGGAATACTAATAATTCAAAATCACCTTTTTTTGGTGTACCTTTTTTCATGGAATGACACACAACTCTTTCTAAATTATGCAATGGCAATTGTAATCTGCACAACTAGGTGTAGCCTAGTTCTGAACATTCATGTGTGCTATTACTATTACTACTAATATTTAGATTACTACTACTACTTCAGTGAACATGGAAAACACAGGAGTCTCAGGAAGTAATATATGGAGCAAGATCCAAAGGTGACCCCTAACTAAGATTGGTTAAAAAGGATAAAGGGGACTGTTTGTATTACTGAAACAGTAACAGCAAATGTGGTTGAAAGAAGAAAGGGCCCTGTAGCTTCCAAGTTGGCTTATTTATCAAGTTAATTGAAACATTATCACTTAAGCTGAATACCCCACACTAGTCCTACAAATTGTTCGGGAAGGGTGTTGGTCTGTGCCCCGAAGATTTTTGACATTCTGCAGTCATGTTGAAAAGTGAACACAGATATATAAACAACAACTCTGCTTTACAAATTATAAACAGTACATAGATAAATTAGTGGTAATATACAACTTCACTAAAACTAAAAGGAAAACGGAAAATTAGTAAAAACTTAAAAAAAAGTAAAATACTAAAGTACATAGATTTGCCAATGAGTTCTAACTTCTAATTACGTAAGACCAGAGTACAGAAAAAAGCACTACCAGTGCAAATGTTACGAGCACCTACCATCATCAAGAAGTCTTTGTAAATGGACAAACATGTTTGGAAACGCTGCAAGTTTAGTTTTATCTTTAAATAGTTGCGATAAATAGTCTGCTACATTCTGAGGGTTATCAATGAAATGCTCACTCATTTTCACAACTCTGAAATATTTTAATTTAACGATATACAAAATTAATATTATTACTAAATTTTCTAATCAAACACGACAACATAGGCCTAAATCACACGTATTCCCGATATATTCACGTCCTTCTCAGAATATCACTTACCTATGACGTTTAAGAGGCTATATGTGCATGCGCAGTACCGAATGTGAAATTAACAGTTTATCTTATTATCGTTCCTTTTAACGATGTTAAACATGTAAATAAAAAATATTATTTAGTTCAATAGATTCTATCTAAAAACTGTTTACGTTTTGTTTTGTTCTTTGTAGCTAACTCTGTGTTTGCTTGTTTGTGTCGTATATATATATAGGTAAAACTAGATTTACTCGAGAGCAATACGATAGGTTAGCATAAATCTAGGATATTCAATCAGGTTATTTATTATAAAATAATGATAAATATGATTATGTAATTTATTCCAAAAGTAATGTATATTTCGTATATTATGAATTTAAGTTGCACTTTTTTGTATATACATTGTGCGCTTATATCTTCTGTGTTCTTTATGAAAGGAATGAATGGCTTT